CCACCAGGTGTGCTGGCTCTGGGGCCTCCTAGGAGGTGCTGGCCCAGGTCAACCACTACCTGTGTTCTTCCCAGGGCTACTGGGCTTAAGCTACAAAGCAATCTGCACAGGCTACTACTTGTGCTGGGCTTGGAGATGCCCAGGAGACGCCAAGCTGTGAACCAAGGCCAGATGCTGCTAGTGCTGGGCCTGGGGCCACTTTGTGAGATGTACTGCATGCTGAGGCTAGATGCTGCTTATTTGAGTGATTTTAGAAAAGTCTGAAGCATGAGCCAAGACAGACCATCATATTAAAAGCCAGTTGGATGGGGCAGGGACTCAGATATGGCCCTTGCCTGTAGGCTCTTTGGAGAAGGGCTCATAAAAAAAAAAAAAAACCACACACACACACACACAAAAAAAAAACACACCAAAAAAACAATGACCCCTCCCTTGCCTATGATGCTCAGGGTAAGAGCTTCGGCCCATGCACTGAAAGGTTTCACTTGGTTTCACTTCCCTGCCCCTAGTTGGGGCACATGTGGGAGGCAACCAGTTGATGTCTCTCTGATGTCTCTCTCCTCTCTCTCTCTCTCTCTCTCTCTCTTTCTCTCCCCCTTCTCCCTTCCTCCCTCTTTTCCATTCTCTCTGAAAAGCAGTAGAAATATCCTCAGGAGAGGATTAACAAAACAACAAAACAAACAATTCCATTTCCAGTTTCTTTCAAGCAGCTGCCTCAGCAATGGACTCAGAGGCAGTGAATCTGAATGAGTGCCGGGCCCTGCTGGGACTCCAGGAGCCCTCCCTCCCTTTGGCCTCAATCCCCACTCATTTCTACAGCCGGAAGTTATGGGGATTTCTCTTCCAGCCCTGGAACCCTGGGGTAGGAGGCCTGGTGTGAGGCTGGGACGGCCGAGATATCCCTCCCAATTTTCAGCCCGTTCCATGTCTGGGCCCCACATACCAGGCTCAATGTGGCTTCTTCTTTAAATCTCTAGTTGTAGGACTTCTCTTCAGTGAGATTTCAGGCAGTTCTGGATGATGGTTGTTCTATAGTTTAGTTGTAATTTTGATGTGGTTGTGAGAGCCAGGCTGTGTTTTCGTGACCGGGTTCCCCCTTGCCTTTCTTCAGCTAAATGGATGGTTCCTTCCTGTGCCAGCCCTGATCACTACTTCCTACTTCCTACTTCCTTTTTTGCTATTGCCCTCCTTCTGGGCGGGCAGATAAAGCCACTACTTCCTCCAGCTCAGTTACTCCCAGAACAACCAGAAGGGGTCAGTATTTTTTTTTAATATATTTTATTGATTTTTTACAGAGAGGAAGGGAGAAGGATAGAGAGTTAGAAACATTGATGAGAGAGAAACATCGATCTGCTGCCTCTTGCACATCCCCTACTGGGGACGTGCCCACAACCAAGGTACATGCCCTTGACCGGAATCGAACCTGGGACCCTTGAGTCCGCAGGCCGATGCTCTATCCACTGAGCCAAACTGGTTAGGGCAGGGGTCAGTATTACAATTGCCCCTCATTTACAGACATGCAAACCCAAGGACAAGCAGTACCTGCCCACGTTCAAAGCTCTGGTAGCAGCTGAGGCAGGATTCCATCCTGAGTCAGACGACTGCGCTGGCATCTCACCCTCAGCAGCAGCTCCTGACAGTGTTTCCTCACTTCTGCACGCCTTCAAATAACTTTGAGAAATATCTAAGCACGTCCTTGCATGATGTTCAGTGGCTACCTCAACTTTCTCATAAGCACAAACAGTTACAAAGGATGCAATTTCTAATACATATATGCTGATTTAAAAAAATAAATAAAACTGCATATATGATTTTTAACATGCATCCAATGAAGTCTAAATAGCCCATGGAGCCCGGCCAGCATGGCTCAGTGGTTGAGCACCAACCTATGGACCAGAAGGTCACAGTTCAATTCCCGATCAGGGCACATGTCTGGGTTGCAGGCTCGATCCCCAGTGCGGGGCGTGCAGGAGACAGCTGATCAATGATTCCCTCTCATCATTGATGTTTCTATCTCTCTCTCCCTCTCCCTTCCTCTCTGAAATCATGAAAAAATATATTAAAAAATAAAAATAATAAATAAAAAGTGTAGAGTGGGTCAAGAGGCTGGGTGAGTGACACAGATCCCAGGGAAGGAAGCAGGCCAGGGAGCAGGGCCCCGTGTGGGGAGGGAGTCACCTGTAGTGCTTGGGAGGCGACACAGGTTCCCAGGCCTGGCCCCTTCCCCACCCGACTTGGTGATGTGGAAGGACTTGGCTGCGGGCCCACGTGTCTCATGTCATTATTCTGGCTGTGACAAGCCAGAAGCCAGGGCGCAGCCAGCTGGGCAAGTCCAGGGAGGCTCAGAGAGGCCGACTGTAGGGAGGAGACTTTTCTCAGACACGCCCCGTGGGAAGCAGCCAGTGGTTCCTTGTCACCCGTCCAGGGCAGCAGAAGGCCAGCCTGCCCGCTCCACTTGGACTGGGTGCGTGGATGTGTGAGTCCGCCTGTTGTTGCTGGAAGCTTCTGAGGGTCCTTGTGCAGAATCGTGCTGGCGGAGCTCTGAGAAGGAAGGGCTCACCCTGACAGCTGGGATGTTCTTCAATGGGCTCTGCTCTTCCCCACCCTGTGGCCAGAGGGAGCCATCACAGACGCTCATCAGGCCGGTCTGGGCGCTGTGTAACAGCTTCAGTAGTTCCCACCATCGCTGAGATAAAGGCCAAAGTCCTCCTGTGCCCCTGACATCTGACCTGTTGAGGTCACTCTTCCCACCCCTCAGCACCCCCCACACAACCTCTACACTCCTGGGGCACCCATTCCCTCCCGCCTCCCCCAGCGAGTTCCTGCTGTGCCGACCTGTCATCACCTCAGAGAGGCCTCCTGACCCCTGGGCTAGGTCAGCGTCCCTGCTCTGTATTCTCATGGCTCTTGCTCCCCTGACCTTAATGCTCACCCAAGTTCAATGTCATGACTTCTCATTTGCTGCCTTTCCCTCTGGACTGTGGGCACCACCACAGCACAGGCCATGCTGTCGGCCGTGCATGGCCCGTGTGGCCCTGAGCATTTGATGATGGAGGAAATGCTCTCAGCTCTACCCTAATTGCTTGTCTTTCTTGGAGGATGGGGACTGCAGTTGGCTCATCACTATATCCCCAACTTTTAGTCTGATCCAAGTCCCATGCCCTAGTTCCAAAGATACACAGGCTCCGATTTCAGGAACCAAGTGGGCCCTTTCCATGAACTGGCCAGGAGTGGGCCTCAAAGTCCACACCCACGCTCCACATACAGGTGGGAGGGCGGCGAGGTCCCCTAACCAGAGGGGATAAAAGAGTCACAGCGCTCACCTCGCAGGCCTTCCCACTCTGTCCCCTCTGACAGGTGACACAGGTGGTGGTGGGTGTGGTCCCAGCAGCCCTGGGGCCCAAGGAGCGGGCCTGCCCCTGCCAGGTTCAGGCCTGGAACAGGAAGTGGTTTTGCCTGCAGTTCCAACAGGGGTTGTGTCAGTGGCAGGTGATATCAGTGTGTGCCCTGGCACCCCAGGCTGTGTGAGACATAGCCATGAGGCCCCCTTCCTCACAGGGCTAATGGGCATCATGGTTCTTTCCTGTGGAAGTCAGGCATCCGGGGGCTGGGCTGCTGAAACATGCATCCTTTCGAATTTTATCACTAAAATCT